CACACACAGCGCGTCAGGGCTTGATTCATAACTGCTGTTGGGTTTCATGTCTTCATTATTGATGTGTTTGACATGTGTACTCAAATAGTTACTGGAATAATTATTTTATTTGATGATGCCATTATGCCCCTTCTAATTAGTTCGTTTGATGTTGGTGCAGATCAACCGCTTGGCATTCTATATTCGGGTTTGTAATTTCAGAGACGAGAGAGATTGTTCAAACACACTTTCTCAATTCATCTCCTTTGGACGAGCATGCTGTAAGCATATGGATTTTTATTATTTGCTTACTTCTCTATGGCTTTGCATATGGATATCATATCGGATGTCATATTTGCACCACCCCAGTGCCTGCTTCTTCCTTAGACCGCTCTTTGAAGGTAACTTTTATCTCAGGAAGCTTGGCTTATGCTGCTCTAATATCAATGTTGGTTTCTCGCTCTCTCCAACCACTTGTCTACATCGCCTGGTTAATGGTGCTGTTCATATACTTTAAGTTCGAGAAAATAGCTGAAATAATCAGTGGAAATATAGGTTTATATTTGTATGAACAATGGAGGAGAACCGCAAGAGGCAATGTCCCAGCAATCAGGAGGCCACCAGTTTAGATTCTCAGCAAGTCTTAAAGTTATTATGGTGTGTTATTTATACCGTCAAGTTGCAAGACTCTGAGTTGTGTTTTTGCTGCACATTATTATATCTGTCATAGGATGATATTTTGGGATAATTTGATGTTGCTTTATTATAATTGCCTTTTCCTCTTCTTCTGGTTGACATTATATATTATGCGTCTTGCATGAATTGGGAATAGTCAAGAACATCTCCTGTATGACATGCTCTGTTTTTAACTGCCATTATCAACGCAACTTTTGAATTGTTTAATATTTAGAAGCATCCGGTATGACATGTGAACATTCCCTCCGTTAAGCTATCTCTTGAAAGTTATCTGCCGTAACAAAAAAAAAAAAACGAGGCTACTGTACGTACAGTGTAGATTACAAAAACCAGTAAACAAATAAAAAACAGAGCACACGAAAACCTTCACCGAACCATCAGCGTTGAATACCGGTCACGTAAGGTCAGACGGCTCCGGCGAGTAAATCCTTCTTAACCTAACCTAACCCCTTTCTCCCTTTCCTTCAATTGCATTCTCAGTCCCTGCGTGTGTTCATCTTCAACCTGTGCGTGAATTTTTTGAGCTTCCGTTTTTTTTTTTTTTTTTTCAAATCACAAGTCCAGGTCTTTCTTGTTAGCTTTCTCAGAAATTTTGCCATGTCACCTCTCAGGTGTTAGTGCTACATAAGTAAACTTAACACCGTTAGCCTCAACCCGAAGTCTTTTAACTACAGGGAGCAATGGTTTTAGACGGATAAAACTTGGGATATAAAAAGTCATAGTAACCCTATTTTTTCATATTAATTATTTTCAACTTTTTAGAGAAAATGTTTCTTTTAATTTCTTTTTGCTTTTCATTGTAAAAAATTTGATTAGAACTGTTGGTACTATTCATTTGAGAATCCACTGGCGGTTAGAAATATTAATGACAATCCTGATAAAAAGAAAGAAATAGTAATAATGGTAATTAACTAATTATATATAGACGATGACCCCTGTAATTATTACTAAAAAGCATTGTTATCGGATGTCTTGTGGAGAAAATTAGTATCTTCCAAATTCCTGTCGACTCGTTTATATGTATTTATATATATTATTCATTTCATTTCAAAATCAAATTAGTGTGTCTCCAGTTTAATTTATATCCTGCCATTAATTAGCACCAGCACCAGAAAGTACTCTAACTTCCCATTAGGACCTTTTTGTATCGTATGACGTTCATCTGGTTCTTCAACACAAGCTCTGGGTTTCCTTCTTTGGTCGTCGCCTTCAGTTCAAGAATATCTATATGTATATATTATATACATATCCATATATACAGAGAAAAAGAGAGGAAACTTTTGGCTTTGGGGGTGGAGGTTTAGGTGTGGCGGTGGTGGCGGGCTTGAGGCGGACCAGTGGGGGATTTATGGTGGGGACCCAGTCAGAGGACTTTTGGTGATCAAGCGCGCGAAAAGCGGAAACCTAATTGCCACGCTCGGGGCGCTTATGACCCCCCCCCCAAAAAAAAAAAAAACCCAAATACGAACATGAAGCATCTCCTGTGGAAAATTTTAGCATCCATACCTGCAGGAAACAATTGCTCCCCTCCCTCATCTTGACAAACCTCCAAGCCACTATGCATTGATTAAGTCTTCATCCACCTTCTCCAGCCTTAATGTGCATCTCCTGGCCACAATTTCTTTTTTCCCCTCCACTCCTCAAATTGCTTATAATTACTGCTTCCAGTTCTTAATATAAGAGCTATTTAACTATTTGAGTAGATTAAAAAAATTAGTTAAGTTAGTTATTCGTAATATATAAGTGTTGGCTTCCTTAAAATATTCTTACTAATCATATTTATTAGCTAGAATCACTATTTGATGAAATCTTTAACATACGCAACTACTATAATGACTATTTTGAAAATAAATAAATAAATATAAAAGATAAAGTGAATTGGAGTTTTATATTTAGAAGCAAAATAAATATCAAACTAGTTCTTATATTAAGAATAGAAAATAGTATAGTTCTCATTGCACCATAAGACTTTGTTCATTACTGAGAAAGAAGTTCTAATTAAACATGCATGATAATCCTCCAATACATAATGTAAAACCTAATTAATGAATTTGAGTAGATTAAGGATGTTAATTAAATTAGTTAATATGATATACTTTTTCTAAAACACCCTAATCATCTTCCTTAATTTCTTCTCCCTCTCTCCTACTTGATTAATATTTAGGGAATATCAATAAGATTAATTTATGAAAAGATTGATAAACATTTGAAATAAGTTTTATAAATAGAACTAGGATCAATTCTCAAATTAAGTCACATGTTAAAAATCAGAGGAGTAATATGTTCATGAAGCTTAGATTGCTATTGAACGACATTCAGGAAGCACACATTGCTTCGGGTTTACATTTGTCCTTTTCTTTTTTCCTTTTTAGTATTTTGTTTCATTATTTAGGTATGGTCTACATTTGATAGAACGCTCTTGTTTACTTCTGTTATAGACGCTGACGCTGTACTTAGATTTTCTTTTTAATGAATTTTCTTGTTGCCAAAAACAATGATAATGTTCACTTCTATTTAACTTAACGTTGGAATAATTTAATTTATATGGTCCTTTGCCATTCCAACCGAATTTTAAAGAGTTTTGGGACATATTATTTTGCCCAAAAATTTTGGAAAAGAATCAATTACATACCATTTTATTTTTTTCAAATTTACTATAATTAATTTGTGGAGAACTTTAATGGCAACTTTGAGATATATAAATTAAAGGGACCATTTGGGGAAAAAAATATATAGATATAAAATATTCCAGCCGGATCTTTTTAATTACAAGAAACAAATAATTATTTATTATATTTAATTTAAAAGAGACTGTATCTTGATAAAGAGCTCCAGCGGAAAAATATTATATCTGATAACGTCGTAAGAAATATGATATTGATTTATAATAATTATTTTTTCATTAGTTGTTTGTTTAAAAATAAGGTTCTTTAATTAATAATTTCTCGTTTAAACAACAAAATTACACAATTTAAAATATTAGTCAAAGATAATAAATATGTACAAAAGAATACAATTTATTTTTCTAAAACACTATTATTTATGGAGATGGTGGGTGGAAGAGAAAATGAATGAAAAAAAAGAAATAAGGGTGAAATATAATTAATTAGAAGTAAAAATAGAAAATTATATTAAATGGTCAAAGTGAAGCTTAAGGAAAAAAAAAATCGACCCCCTCAAGTTTTTTTTTTTTGGCCAAAGACCCCCTCAAGTATTGAAGCTTATATTCTGATCCGAAAAAAGTATAAAACAATCTGCGCGCGCTACATATTTCCATTAATTACGAGGAAGAAGAAATAGAAGTGGCCGCGAGATTAAAAGGGTGTTTGGATAGAAACCAAATCATGGTTTCAGAAATACTTTTACGATTTACAAAGTAAATATGTGGAGGAGTTTACCTCGTTTTGCGGAAAAGTGCTTCTGAAGCTATGATTTTTATATTGCCAAACACCCCCTAAGAGGAAGAGCGAGCAGCTTCTCTCCGCTGCTATTTTCATTCGCTGCCCTCCTTTTCTTCCAACGACACCGTTTAATGAAGGAAACGATATCTAGGCCGTTTATTTCTAAGATTTGTATGGACAGTGATGAGAGGCAATTAATTTAAACGACGTTGTATTAATATGTCATCTTATCCGTCGATTTTCTCATTCAATATCAGCTGTCCATATAATTTTATATATTATTTTATCATTTCCCTCCTGCAATTTAGTCGTTCATCTTCTTTCGCGCACTGGTCCATTCTTTCTTCTTCATACAGCAGTGCGGGAAAATTAGTGGAACTGGTGGGGAAAAGTTTCAGAGAAGAGAAACAGCAAGGAAGGGTCTGTGGGCACTGGATATCAAGGATTAGTGAGTAAATTAACAATCTTTTATCAAATACTCACAATTTTTTATATGTCATATTTAGTTTATATTTATGCTTTTTCATAATCTAACTTGATAATCTTTAAAGTTGGTGAAAGAAGATATTTTTTCTGCTGTATTTATATTCCTATTGTAGATATAATGTGCTTCTCTATGAGTTTGGTTAATTAATCTGAACTTCCGTTATACATGTGTGCATGCTCCGTTTGTACCGAAAATTGTTTTGGTTTTATATAACTTTTGTTTTATATATAACATATTATATACATATGTTGGTTAATAAATTTCTATTTTTGTGTGTATACATCTATTTCTATTTGTATATATACGTGTTTTAGTTTTGAGATCACAATTTTTCTACTTTCATTATATTGTATATATGAGTTTGTATTTATTTTATTTACTTATAAAAAATTTATATTATGGGTATATACCTTTCAATTTTGCAGGAAGCTTATAGCATGGATATAAATCTGATTCCTAGACTTGATCGTAAATTTGACAATATAGAAGAATCATGGAAATTTTGGAAAGCATATGGTAGGAGGACTGGTTTCAGTATTCGAAAACAAAGTTTTAACAAATGTAAAAAAGACAAGTCATCATATTCTTCTTATCTATATGTTTGTCGCAAAGAAGGGGTAAAAAAGCCAGACAAACGAGATGCTCAAACAAGGAAGCCTAGAGATGAGATAAGAACAGGTTGCAAAGCAAGAATGAAAGTGAAAAATGTAAATGGAAAATTCAAAATAAATGAAGTTTTCCTAGACCATAATCATCCTCTTCAGCCTCCTGAAGCTGTTCACTTGTTTGCATCTTATTGAGGATTAACACCAACTCAACGTTATGAATTAGAAATGCTGAAAAAGTTGGGATTAGTCAAAAATCAGCATTCAATTTGCAAAGTCAATATGCAGGAGGTCGAAATAATTTGGGATTTACAAGAGTTGATGTAAAAAATTATCTTAATTCAAGAAGGCAACGAGCTATGGGATACGTTGAAGTTGGATGTATATTTCGGTATTTTGAGCAACAATTAGCAGAAAATTCGTCTTTTTTTCATGCTCACCAAATGGACTCAAATGAGCAAGTGACAAATGTATTTTGGGCTAATGCACGCATGTTGGTCGATTATACTTGCTTTGGAGAAGTCATTTCACTTGATACAACTTACTGCACAAACTGTGACCATAGACCTCTTGCAATTTTCTCTGGCTTCAACCATTACAGAAAAGGGGTAATATTTGGAGTGGCATTATTATATGATGAGACAGTTGAGAGTTTTAAATGGCTCTTTGACACTTTTCTCTGTGCACACAAAAATGCAAGGCCATTGACTGTTTTCACTGACCAAGATGCTGCTATGTCACGAGCATTACAAGAAGTGATGCCAGATGTAAAGCATGCCTTGTGCACATGGCATATTTCAAATAATGCAATGAAGCACTTTCCAAATTCAATGGTGAGTGATTTTAACTGTTGCATGTATCATTGTTGGGATGAAACTGAGTTTGAAGAAGCTTGGCAAGCATTGTTGTCCAAACAAGATATGGCAGAAAACTCATGGTTGATGTCCATGTATCAGATATAAGAGAAATGGGTAGCATGATATATGAAGAATTCAAGGACACTTGGCATGAGAAGCACACAAATTAGCGAAAGTGTCAATGCATCTGTCAAAAGTTGCACCCATGTGAAATTGGATATCAACGGATTCTTTGACAAAATTTGAACAAGTTTTGGAGGAAAAACGTTATAATGAATTGCGGGCAGATTTTGAGGCACTTGACAGGTTGCCAAGGTTGATATTACAAAGTTCAAGTATGCTTCATCAACTTGCTGAGGTCTATACTCGACCTATTTTTGACTTGTTCCAATACCAATGTGATCTACGTGATGCTACACGTATAAAAGAGAGAAAAGAAAGAAAGATCACCATGAATGATGATAGTGCCACCGTGTTTGATTATGTGATCACCATGGATAATAGTAAATGGGAGCATAGTTTGACATTTGAACCTTCCACAGAGACAATCACCTGCAGTTGCAAAAAGTTTGAACGAGTAGGCATATTATGTTGTCATGCATTAAGAGTATTGAATGAACGTGATGTCAAATTACTTCCTCAGAAATATATAGTAAAGAGGTGGACAAGAGAAGCACGATGTGGTGTTGTGTATGATATTAAAGGGAAAGAGATTGAAGTTGATCCTAAACTACAAAGATCAACTCGATACAGACAATTATGCCCCTTACTTGTTAAATTAGCTAATGATGCATCAGAAAGTCCAGAGGCATTTGTTCTTGTTCATGAAGCTGTGTTGGAACTAAGTAAGCAAGTGACTAAACTTCATATCAAATACTTATCAAATGATAGTAATGGTGATAAGGATGGTCTGGAGAATCATGCCAGTAGTAATGGTGGCAAAGTTATTGGGTTTAAAAAGAGATATGGTAGAAAGATAAGTAGACGGATAAAGAGTGGACTTGAAACCTCCCAAAGAAGGAGGAGAACAAAAACATCTAAAAAGCATCCTCAAGCTTCACAGGTATCCTTTTAACAAGTTTAAGTTTTTTTACAAATGCTTATTAGATATTCATTATTTCTTTTCAAAGCTGTTCCAGGGACAACATAGTCAACTTCAAAAATTTGAGACAGCAAATCAAGCGCATCATGATAATATAATGTTGGATAACTCTCAACCAAGTGAAATGACCTTTACAAATTTGATGTTTCTATTTTTCTATTGCAGGCACCACTTGATTGTGACATCATATCACTTGAAGCACTAGATTTTAGCCAAACACATAACACTGGTAACCATAAAGAATAATAATAATAATGGAAGAAAATAATTTAGTCATTTTATTGAATTTTAAATTTTTTCACATAAATTTGTCTCATCTCAAGACAATTGACAATTACAATACTCTCTCTCATTAACACTACAAAGTTATATTGTGTTTCAAATGCAGGTCCAAGGGTTGACGTAGATCCTCGCATATGAAATCTCCATGTCAATTTATTTTGCCCAGCCCTTTTGTATAGCACATGACTTCTTATGGACTGCTCTCTGTTTTGCTCAAGCAAGCTCATCATTTTGTTCTTTTGTGTTGTTCTCTATTTTTTGGCCAACCATCATGTCCTCTAAAATTGTGTAATCTGAGTTGGCTTTATTTTTTTGGTTAACCTTGCTCATTGTTTATGTAATCTGCTGTCAAACAAAGTCAACAAACAATCACTTGTTTGTACAGAGATAGAAACATGTGCTAATCAAATAGCTATCAATTATGCTATTTACCAATGTAAACAGATGGATCAAAATATTGTACATGGGTACAACTGATGACAATCTATCGCTACTTACAACCCCAGCAATATCACAGCATATAATCAATAACAGCAATTAACAGTACTATGAGCCTCTATGAACAGCAATTAACATGTCTAATTTTTCAAGTTGTATGAGTTCTGAATCAACAGTATTATGAGCCTCTATGAACTGCAATTATAGATTTCAGCTTCCATCTCCCTCTTCCACTAACTATTGTTGATGCTATTGTCATTACAATCAACAATGCTATGAGTCTCTATCAATAAGGTAGTTACAATTGATGAAGGACAATTAAATGGAAAGTTTATAGTTACATATTTATTCAATTTTGTTGAAAAGGAATAACATTACAATCCATCAAACCATTCCAATCGAGGTTCTGAAAAGAAGTTTGCTATGAACATCAATTCCTGCACATAAATGAGAATCAGCTCTAAGTACATGTGACACTTGTTGAAATACTTAAAACAGCTGAACTTTTGGTCATTTTTTGCTAAAGAAAAAAGGCTTTGAAATTTGCTGAACCAGGATCTCTTATAGTTAGCATTTATCAAAGAGCCAAAGCTACATATGAATGAATAAATCAGCATTTGTTGGATGTTCAATATTTTAATCGAACAAGTATATAATAATTGAAGTTCATCACTTGCTTGAGCCCATATAATGTGTTATGTATCAAATATTTTTGTAGATACATCATTATGTATGACCATGAAATGAACATCTCCATAACAATGAACATATTTTTAGCATTCCCACCAAAATGTTGAAGAAAAAACTACACAAATTTTAAAATGAGACGCCACATAATTCTTCTTGTAAGAAAAAATCTAAAATGTTAGCTTACCCACTCAATGATTTCTACATCTCTATCAGCACCACTTTCTAGTAAAATCAAGATGCACGGTGATTAAAATCAACTTTAGAATATTAGCGAGCAGAGGAAATGTACAGGAAACAACACTAAAAATCATTCATAAAAAGTAGAAAAGGAGATTCATAACCAATATTATAGCCTATTATCAATAAAAGAACAAGAATTTGACAGTTAAAATAAACTGTAGAGAAGTATTATAGGCATCAGATCATGCATACATTGAATTAACTCTAGTCCAAAAGACAAGCAACTCACGGATCAAATTCCTCTAGGAGATCTCTAGATAAAGCTGCAATTAACTTGCATAAAAAAGACTTTAAAATGCCCACTTGATTAACTCGATAAATCCTTGGAATAGAGTAAGATAATTTAATTTGGGGTTCATGAGGCATGACCGAAGCAATCTCCTTCAAGAAAGAGCCATAGAGAAGAAACTTGAAGAGATGGAATTCATATACCGTATGGCTTGTCACATATACCGTCTCCTTCCTCTTGAATCGGTGAGAGAGGAAGCCGCAAAGATCAAAGCCATTTTGATAGAGCCGCAAATTGGAGTTGGTCGCTGTTTTGATGCCGCCGTTCAATAGTCGATGGGTTGGGTCTGTGAAACACAACCTGCAGCAACTAATGGTTGGGATTAAAATTAATGGAGCGCTGAGATTCTGTTTTATAGGACAGAAACGGTGTCGTTGGAAGAAAAGGAGGGCAGTGAACGAAAACACAGTAGAGAGAACTTGCAGCAACTAAGGGTTTGGATTAAAATTAATGGAGGGCTGAGATTCTGTTTAATAGGACAGAAACGGTGTCGTTGGAAGAAAAAGAAGGCAGCGAACGAAAATAGCAGCGGAGAGAAGCTGGTCGCAGAGGAAGAATATGTTACGAATTGCGACTCACGTCCAATCCCGTATGAGGCGCAAGTGGGACCCGACGTTTTCTACACGACGTGTAAAGTCTGACTTATCTTTTCCATCATCAAAGAATAAATGGTTTCGTGTGTATATGTAGAGAGACCCACTCGCACTGTCGCACGCGTTACGAGCCAAACACCTTACGTTTCCTCCCTAACAAAAAACTAAACAGGCAAATGGATTAATTCAAGAGTGAGTGAGTCAGAACAAAATCAATTCAGAATAGTCTTAATTAAATAATATAATTTAATTAAAAACATGTAAAAATCAATTTTAAAGGGTGCTAAGTATATTTAAGAAATTAAATCAAGGGTAAATTTGCATCTTTATTCTTCAATTTTTTACTTAATTTCAATTTTCAAACTTTTTAAATATTAGATAATATATTTAATATTTTCTCATTTATTTATTTATTATTATATTCCCTTCCTCTCTTCTTATGCGTGTTGCTTGTCACTTGTCAAGCCATCTTTCTTTTTCCTTTCCATTTTCACACGCTTCCTCCTCCTCTCTTTTTCAACTTTCCCCTTTCTCTTCGCTTTTCTCCTTCAAAATCAAAGAAACACTTCTAGCAGAGAGCTTCGCGTTTTCATTTCTACGATTTAAATTGTTGCAAAAGCATCTTCTCCATCCAAGCACCTCATACTCCGTCACTGTATCCGCCTTCGCCTTACTTCTCACCCGCCAAAATCCCAGCGTGGAGT